GTACAAGAAACTGGGTTTGTCGCCTAACGCCCTACACCCCACGCCACCTCCCCAATCACGACTGCGACAGGGTATGCGAACCACCAGCACCGCGAACCAACGTGCAGTCCACTTGCGTGAGGCGTGTTTTGAGAAGTTACGTGATTACACGCAGCATATTTGACGCACTGTTTTTCAGCATGAAACGTTCTTCGCACTTCTTCATTTCTTTACAAGTTTTGATACAACTGAAATGTCTTAAACAATTCTGGCTTGCTACGTCCGAAGAAGGCACAATTTTTTGGTGGTTTTGTTGAAGACCGTGTCGAACTTTCGTTGTTCTTCGTCCCTAGTCAGGACGACATGTAAGCCAGATTCAAGAAGCGAAAGCATTTTCACAAATTAGAGAGTTTTATATCCTCATCTTCAGTAGGATAGCGACAGTGTCCGCCTTTCATATGGTATGTGCTCATGCACTTTTGTGTTCCATTCACATGCACTGAAAAAAAAACTTACGATCAGCACGCTATAGATCTGCGAAAATGCCTTTTAGTCTAGTTAACAAAAACGTGAATGAGCTCTAGTATATTCATTAGCCTCCTGCAGTGAGCGTCCATTCAGTTAAGGGCAAACATCTCAAACCCCCGATCTCTTAGATTTATTGTTAATCCGGGTAGGCAATAAGATTTTGTCTTGTTTATATCTATCTTGTTTCGCGTTACTGATACTGTCTATTTGAAGGCGTACATTCAGAACTTGATCTGTTTCAGAAAACGAGAGATCTCATAGTTTTTACCTTGTTATAATGACGCGGACATGTCCGCACTGTGGTTCTTCCGACATCGATGAAGATGCTGCCCGAGGTAATGATGGTCTCCTTTGTCCCTCCGAGATTTTTCTATTTTTTAGTTTTTTCCTAGTGTAACTTATGCCTCTACTAAATGTTGAGCTTTTTTGTTTGATTTGCAGGAGATGCCACTTGCATGGCATGTGGGACCGTACTGGAAGAGTCTATTGTGGTATCCGAGAATCAATTTCAAGAACGGGCCGGTGGATCTGGACATACTTTAGTTGGTAAGTAGTACCTCCAGATTTTGTTCTTTTTATTTATGGTCCAGTATTTTTGCATCTATATCTTCTTTCTTTTTGAGTGGAATTTGACGTGTTTTCCTTTGGCTGTTTTCCAAGCTTCT